AACTATATGAATGAGAAGCATAAAGGAGTAGATGACCAACAGAGAAGATGATTACGGTTCGTTTTGGTTTTATTCTGCTTTAAATCACCGTGTCATTTTTAATAGGCTAACTGGCCATAATACATAGTGTCAGATATGAAGACATCAAGATTTTAATTTACCCTTATACTAAATGAAAGGTTTAATTCCTTCTAAAATGCAAAACACTCAAACCATCACATTTCAAAAACTATCCAGCCACTGTGCACCTGCTGTGAGATGAAACTGCCTTTCTCCGTTATGTTGTGTCTTTGATGTTTTTCCTTGTTCAGGAACTTGTTTCAGCAGGCAATGGGCGATTAAAATGGACAGACATATATGTTGCACGGTGGGGAGAGTGATTAGCTGGTGATGGTCCTCAAATGTGAAATAATTTATTTATGTTGGTTGCATCCTGTGTTATAGGAAGGAGATTTCCTGGTTCGGACTCACCACGTTGAGTACTGTGATGGAGGGATTCTGGACCCTGATGACGTACTCAGTGATCTGGTAGAAGATAAGGACAAGGTAAGAATCTCTTGGGCCAGAAGGAAATGTTTTGTCTGTGCTGCTGCTTTTAATCTGATATTGTAAATAAAGAGAGAGTTGAAACAGTTTTACTTCCTTTAATGTAAACACACCAACACCATGAACAGGAATTAAGTGGGTTTATGTGACTTCTTGCTTCTACAAACAACCATGTATCATTAATCTTCCTAATTAGCCTAATACCCATGAACTGGAACTAAAACATGTGCGGCTAGACTTTGCATGTGCCTAACCAAATATCCAGCCTGGCAGTCCATAAGGAAGAGAAACAGGCAGCTCTTGTTCTCTACACAGAGCTACAAAATAACAGTATTTAAGTCAACCATCTTTATTCCTTAGATCTTTTTGATGACTCTCATGTGATGCATGTAATCCTTTTGATTTATACTTATAAATTAACCCCATTACAGTGCATGTGTGTGTAGAAAGGTACGTGCTCTTACAAAGGTTTGAGCAGTAGGTTACCTTCTATTTTGTGTGTGTGTGTGTGTGTGTGTGTGTGTGTTCAGACTTTAGAGTATTGAGCTGCAGTGGCCTTTCAGCCACTCCCTTGGATAGAATATTGCCTCACAAGCAAAATTCAAAGGGAAAAGGTTTTAACTTGCCTTTAGCATTAGGCAGTGCCATTAGCAATTCACTTTTGGAGACTTTGCGAGCTCATTCTATATATTTCCCATTTTTCTTATTTTCCCTGTGAGGAATGTGTCATTTTTTATTTTCCCCTTTGGAAGGTCTTGTTTTTTCATATTTTTTCCACTGACTCTGGCATTATTATAACATGATAAATGGCCTAGATAAGGGCATTTTGAACCATGCCTTGGACCTTAAATGAATCTTGAGCCCTCTCTTGGTTGCAGTGCACATTAAAACAGTATCAACATGTTTTAATGAGCCCATGTCCTATGGTGAACTGAATTTTTCATTTAGGTCACAGCTAGAAAAAGATGAAGAACCTGCCGGCTAGAGAATGTTATGTACAATATAGTCCCTGGTCCTCCGCTCATACTGTATGCCTTTAAGGATGTATAAATACTTCAGGATTTGTTGGCAATACTCTGAACTAATTAAGGACAAAGCTGCATTATTTGGCAATCTCTCTCGAGGCAGTGAGAGACCTTGGGAAGAAATAAAGTGATGGCTGTCTCTCTTTTTCCAGGACTCCAGGCCTCTGTTTCTGTCAAAATAGTCATTCTCATCTTTTAGATCTCGGTTTTTATTATTAGTTAGCAAGATATTTTTACCATGAGTGTAGATACAGCTAAAAGACCTGTAGAAATGTGATCAACACTTCACTGTGAAAATATACATGACATACAGTCAAGATATGCATGACACTCTAAGCTGCAGCCCAGGGGCCATAAGTCTTTGTGACAGGAGCAGTAACTGAATCAAGAGACTGACACCTGACCAAGGGGACTGCTATTATGAGAGCCTGTTGCCATGGTTTTGTAGATATTCGTGCACTGGTTCTGCTGATGGCTAGCTGCCGCTCACCTTGTGCCACTGTAATCTAGTTTGTAGTGCTTTCTTTGTGGAGGTGTTACAGGTTGGAGTTCCACCTGTAATCAGTCACTGTTACATGGAGAGGGCACTGCACTGGTTTATAACTACAAAATCTCTGGTTTGAAAAAAGATTGAGCACGATTGGTTGTATAGGCTAAGTTTTGTTTGAGATCAATCCATTTTTGCTAAACAGTACACTGCCTTTACTGTGCACCATTTTATTTGAGTGTGTGTAAGAAAATAATTAGTGTGACTGTGACACCTTTCTGCTACCAATGAATGCAGTGCAGTGCTCTATATTTTATAGATGTGAAATGAACAGTCAAGTGACACAATGCATCCATGCAGTATATTTGCAATGACACAAAATTGTGTCTTAGTGTGTCTGTTGCTCACTATAGATAAACAGAGTAAGCTATTGATTTATAGTCCAAGTGTATTTTTTTCAAAGATTTCCAGGGCAGTTAAGCCACAGTGGGCACAAAGGCAGATGTGCCTGCTCCTGAGGTACTTGATTGAGCTGTTGCTATGGGGATGAATTGTTGGTGCCAGCCAGAACTGGCAATAGACTGTGGTAACAGTCACATGAGGCTATCAGTGGCAAAACTGATATGGAAATCAATTAGTTATTTTAGGCTGCACTGATTGTTTGACTTTTTTCTGTTTTGACAGAGCAGAACAAAATGAAAACATAGCATCGACACCTTATAAAGCTGATATGAGGAACATGTTAGCCAGCAGTTGCCTACACATCCAGCAGACCCTGAGCAAGTCAAGCATTTATTTAGAGTTACGTTTCTGGCTCCTGATATTTGTAAGTCCACCCTAACTACACTTTTAGGTCTGGTTTGGTGTTCATTAACCCTTGAGAAAATTATCAGGGTGAAAGATGCTAAATCTGCAATGCATGACTGTGGTGTGCAGCCCTTTAATTGTGAACAGGACTGAGGAAGCATGGAGTTAACGTAAAAAAGGAGGAAGTTTGTCAGTTTTGCTAGTTATAAAATGTTTGGATCTGCATTATAGGCTATCATTTGAATAGTAGGCCTGGTTTAGCAGGTATTCTTATCAAGGCTTTGGTTATATTGGCTGCAAATTGTGTTTTATGTGCATATTTACAGTATGTTCGTCTTAACTGCTTTGCATTTTTTGTCCTGAACTCTCTGTCCTTAACTCTCTCTCTACCTATATTCACTCAGAAAGAATAGCAATATCATTTTTTCGTTAAGCGTTCTTTGACTGCAGTGAAACTGTACAGAACATACCTTTGCAGCATAAAAAAAAAAACAAATTTAAAAGAGCATTCATACTACAAAATGCACATTTTAATATTGGGATCCAATAAAGTGCCACAAACTAATTCCCCAAAACACACTTATGGACACACACTCACTCACTAAGAATGATATTCAGCAGTGCACACTTCTGAGCACCAGAGATTGCACATGAAATGAATGTTTGAAATATTCATTGGATTCTGGGGTTAGGCTCTCATTGCATTACTGAGCTGAGCTGAATGAATGGCTCCTAATCTGAGATGAGTGTTTCACTGTAGGCAGACTCAGACTGCCTGGGTTTAAGTTTATAACCATAAAGAAAACAGCAATGATTTCTGAGGTTTGGTGAATAAAGAGGTCAAAAATATAGTTTCAGTCATCTATGGCTGAAATATATTGCATTGGAGTGAAACGATTCAAATTTATGAACTAACACTGGTGCTGTGACGGCAAACAAAGGCACAGTATGTCTGGGATGGAGAGAACTTGTTTCAGACATGTTTAGCTCAACTTAACTTAGCTCTTAGACTGGAAGCATAGGCGACACAATGTGGTTCTTTTCTCCGAAAAACCAACACTAGATGATTATTGAAACTGAGTGAGGGAATCAAAAATGTGGCTGCGTTTGGGTTAAAATACAAACAATACAAGTTAGCAGTCTTCTATAAGACAGCATGGAAGTTTGACATTTATAAGTTGTGTGCAGCTGTCCTATAAAATCTACACCTGTACACCTACTGTAGAAAGACAGATAACCGCCATTTAAGGACTGTTTAGTTTAGTAGCTGAGTATGTTGAGACACACACGTCACTCCTGCCTGAAAAAATGTTATAGAAGGTGAAAGCAGGCGTGAAGGAATGTGGAGAAACTTTCTGTGCAGTTTCCTAGTTTCACCTTTAGACTACCACCTACATCCCCCAACCTTTTCTCCGTTACCTTAATGTCTCCCTTGCACATTGTTTTTCAAGCCCACTAACAATTTTATGGTAAAGAAAATGAAAAGTAAGCAGGAAATATGGATTTCCATCAGCATTTTCTATGTAGCTGGAAGTGTAACTCCTAATGTATTTTAGCCATTTTGTACATTTTGCAGAAACAGCCTTACAGAGCCTAGGGTTTGTTTAAAGGCTAGTTGGTAATGGAGAGAGGGGAAAGACGCTGTTGCCTTGTATGATATTGATGTTTTTTTTCTTGGACATTAATATCACATACTCAAACACACACACCAGTGACATCAGTTAACATTAAAGCAAAGTCTTAACCCTCACACCCCTTTTGAAGTTTTGTCAGAAAGTGAAGTCAATGTAGCTCTTCTTCATTTGGGCCAAGCCTCTGCACAATCATCTTATTAGCCAACACCAATAGGGTAACGTAGCTGAAACCTTTAGGGCCGAAACAAGGACAAAAATAAGTGACTGTGGGGGAAGGTCAGGATGATGACAGGTCACACAACAATGGTGACTTGGAAATGGTTTTGATTTTTAAAAGTGGACAGACAGGAGAGCAATACTGTTGTAAAATATGAAGTCTTTTCCAACCTTGGAAAAGGTAACCTCACCAGCCACATACTGCATAAACAGACATACTGCACACAGATCTTGCTGGTAAGCAAGGATGGCTGGAGCGATAGAGATTGGTGGGGGGGGAATAGGAAAATAGGAAAGTAAAGGTGGGTGGAATGTGTTTTGGTAATAAAAGTACCAGAAGAGCACTTTGTGCTCCGTGTAAGTGAATAATGGAAAAGGATTGTACTGAATATGTAGAAAATGTTTAGCTATTGTATGGATGGCTGTATTTGGAGATTTTCACCTCCCTTTACCCATCTGTCTTACAACTCTCTAGCCTGCTCTCTCACTGCTACACATATTTGATCTCTTATCTTTCTTTGCCCCACTCTCCCTTTCTTTTTTCTTTCTCCATGTTTCATTCTTTTCTTCCCCCTCTCCCATCTCACTTAGCTCACTCATTTTCAGGAGCAAAACACAAACTAGCCAGAATGAAGCAATTATGACCCTGTTGAAATGGTTATTATGCATAATACCCCATAATTGTCCTCTGCAGTTTTCATCATAAATGGCATGTACATTAAGTCTGTGCAGTATATGCTAAACAAACCTTCCTAACCTTGCATGAAGATCACCAGCTTCAGCCTTGGTTTTGAAAATGACACACAAACACTGAAGCTGTGTTTAAAGCAT